ACACTGTGACAGACTCGGTCACAGCTCAAAGCTACGTCTCCACTGCAGAATTTCAGCAGTAAGTGTGTCTGAGTCTGTTCTTGCAGTTTTATTTCCATCCCCAGGCAGCTGGAGCCCTAGCTGAAACCCTCGCCAAGTGACAACCTGAGAGACAGATCAACACGAAGTCAGTGATTTTAAGATATTTTAAGTGCTCTTATACTGACTGACAACAGCTGCCCTCCGGGAGGGAAGAAGGAAACAACAGAATTTAGTAGAGCAGCTTGTAAGGACGTCAGTCAAGAATGAGGTGGGACAAGAATTTAAAATATTGTCACTCTTCCAGAAGATCTCTGTGTGGCTGCCAGGGAGGGGGACAGAGACTGTAAGACCTTGTGCTTGTGAAGGGCTGTTTCAGGACCTCGACCCTTGGCAGCTGACACAAGTGAGCAGAGGAGGGTTGCAAATGCAAGTGTAAGGGCAGCGCCATCTCAAGGATACGTGGCTGTGTTTGTGTGTTCCAGGCTCTTCAGCTATACAGCCCAGTTGGGGAAGGAATTAAATAGCACTAACGCAAAACTCAAGAGAATTGTGAAAAGCATGCAACAACTGAAGGATACTGCAGGCAAGACGGCACAGTAAAATGCACGAGTTCATCTGATAGCAGAGATGGCCTGACTCTTCACAGTTTAAATAAATCCAGAGTCCCCATCCCCTCCCTCCCCCCTTTTTTTCTAATAATGTTAATAAATGTTAATAAAGGTAACACCACTGTTGCTTCTGGGTCTTTCCTCTGAGAGTTTCAGGTGCTGCTTTAGCTCTGAGAAAAACTGACCAACCTTGCTGGAGTTCTGGTAGGCATCTCTACAAATGCCTGAGCGACATTTATTCCTCCGCCTTGTTTTGGGGCTGCTGTGGGACAGAGACGTGTAACCGAGAGCAGGCCATGAGCGATGGCAGCACCCCGGGCCCGCTCCGAACCCTCCTCTCGATCGCTGGCCCGATGTAGCCCTGTGCCACCCTCAATCGCCAGGCACAGTCCAGCACACGGGTCATCAGCCCTCGCTTCCCCAGACCGCTTTCTTGTGCCAATGCATCTGCTGCCAAGGTTAATGCTTATTTCTCAACAATTCTTGTTCCAGGCACCTGTTGCTTCCAGAACAGGTTAACTCTTGCCTTCAGAGAAAAAAAAAAAATTGCTCTTTCAGGAAATCAGTCATTTGTTTTGATCGGGCCCTAACAGCTGGAACCACCAGAGGGCGATTTGCTTCACCCTTGCACCAGCCTGAATTTTCAAAACGTCCTTTTTATTCCTAAATCCATTTATACCTGTTGCCTTAGAGACAAGGTGTCACGTTCAGGCCAGAAACTGTCTGCTCCTACGTAGTCATTAATATTTGTTCATTACGGGGACTCAGCCACAGGAAGAAGTAAGGCATGTCCAAATGCCGTCTGACCATGCCGTGAGAGAACACGGGGCCATCACCAGGCTGCAACACCTGCACCACGCAGCCCCTGCCCTAGGGAAGCTGGGCATCTCAGCTCATGCATGACGCGCAACCCCCAGCCTCCAAAGGATCCTGAAACTTCTGTAAATCCTCCAAGGATTTACAATATTATAAAGCTTTATGTCCTGCAGAGCACTATCAAGCTACTACAGAGTCTCTGGTCTCTCTGCGTCTAATCACGCTGTGGAGGAGCTGTCTCACGGGGCGGGGAGCAGACAGGCGTTTGAAGGGCCCCAGAGAGAGCTTGCTTCAGCCCCGCAGCACAATGCAGCCATGCACTCGTTTGCCTGTCAGGGTTCACCGATTTTGTACTTCAGTCTCCTGGCCAAGCCAAGACACCCTCTCTTCTAAAAGGGACCAGTTTAAAATAAAACCACCTCTTCCCTTCACTTCCAAAGGGTTCTTGTCGCTATGCAGTATCCCAGGACCCTTGTCCCAGAAAACATAGGTCACCGATGAACTTTTTATCTTGATTACTCAATAGCCTGACATGCAGGAAAGCAGATGTATCGCACCTTCGGCATCTCCAACCTTTCCTCCTCCTGGCAACCCCTCTCATACAAAGAAGTCTCGAAACCTTTAGCCAGTTACTTACCCAGAACTTCATGGAAGGGCTTTCAAGCACTCCTCATCCTTGCTCTACTACTCTGGGGCACAGAAACGCTCTTTATAGCCTGCCTCACTTTTCCCAGCAGGCTCTTTGCCCTGCAATCACATAATGGCTCAAGCAAACCTCTTTGAAGAGGTAAAGCTTGGAATACTATAGATTTGCATTATCTCAGAACTGGTTCTTCAGCAAGGAAGATCTGTCCCAGTATCACTGAGCTTTTTGCACCCTCAAAAATATCTGTTTCTCCTCCATTTTGACTAATGGTGTCTAAACCAGGGTTATTTTCCTTCATAAAAATCTTCTTGGTTCATTGCTTTGTAGCACGTGGGTTTTAAACAGTTCCCAGCAAACCACTATTTGAGGGATTTTTGTCCTCTCATTAGCATCTTGATCAGAGCAAGCTTTGTTGAATAAATAATGCTACGGAACATGGAGGAACAGATGTGGAACAGATCTATAGCAACCTTGTTCATTCTTCGAGACAGTGTCCTAAGAATTTGTGCTTTCTTTTTCTCCTATCTTCAGAGGAAAGACGTGTCATCAAAGGGAAAGTTATTCTGTCCCACCCTAAAGAACGTACTGAAGTCTGCCTTCTGTCTCCTCTCCCTCACTTGCTCCCTTGACTTCCTAGTTGTTTTTCTTCTTCCCATTTACCTGCACTGCCACACATCCACAGTCTTCACCTTCAGGAGTTCTTCTGCCCCCTGCCAGGCCTTAGGCTGAAGAAGGGTGGATTTACAGAAAATACAACACAAGAGTCAGTTTGAAAGACCTCAGTCACTTTTCACATGAACTTACATCAATATACTATGAAAAAAGTCAATTTGGTCCAAAGGAAAAGCATCCTCTTGTGTTTACAGAAGTGTGTGCAATAGCAGTGTTTGCTGGCCACAAACTGCAGTAACTGCTGTGGTACCGATTTTAAGGTTAAAAGATCATTATGGATCTCTTAGATACACAACCAAATACTGCTCATCAGCTGAAGGTGTATTCATTGGCAGTGAATTAATTAGCCCAGTAATGGTAGAATCAGCTCTCTACCCCATCTACTTCCGAAGCTGCTACTGTTGGAGCAGGAAGGAGCGAGACTCACAGTTTGCTCCTGCGTCATCACGCAGCAGGCTGGCACCCTAGCAGGAACCGAAGGCCACATCGCACGATAAGCCAAGCTGTCAGTTCAGGAGCCGATATGGTCACTGCCCTGCTGTCGCTGCCGAGAGGCACAGTCTAAACAGGTAAAGTAAGGCTTAAACTGCTGTAGCTTCATCAAGGGCTGTCACAGCACCTGAGCCACCGCCAGCGCTGGTGGCTCTGCCAGCAGGCTGCGGAATTCGGACCTGCCTCAGCAACACCCTGAAACTACAAACACATGTAGGAACAGCGAAGGACTCGGCACTTGTTTTTAAGAGATGACAGTGGAGGAAAAAGCATGATGAGAGACAAAGATATATGACAATAAAGGTTAAGGTACTTTTATTATAAAAGTCTATACAATGAGCACCAGACATAGCAATGCAATTATATCTGGTTTAGTTATATATATTCCATATCTATATATCCATAGAGATATATAGGTTTTGCTTTTACCAAAGTAAAACTGTTATATCACAAAATGCCTAGTTCTACCATTTATTTATTGCTCAACAAGGATGGCACAAAACACACTCAGCGTAACTGTTGCCATGCTTATCTACTATACTGAATAAACAGCCAAACACTGCATAACAAACACAAAGCAGCTGTTAATTCTGAATTGGAACCAGTCTGATCACTCACTCACTTATAAAAATATTGGAATCATATAGATTTAAGCATTATAAAGGAGGAATATATTATTTAAAACATTTAAATAGTGCATATTGACATTTTGCATGTGGTATATAAAACACAAACATTCATGTACAACACTATACAGTACACATTAGTTTCAATGTTTGGATACACCCGTGTCTGCAGACTGATAGAAAAGTAACTGAAGTGTACATTGCACAATGGAACTGAATAAAATTGATAAATGGTCTCAAGACTAGTTTAACCTCGTAATTCTCTAAGGTCCCAGATCATTTTGCAGGTTAAAAAAAAAAAAAAGGCATACCACCAGTGCTCAATATTTTTAGTGCTTTTTTTTTTCTTCTGAATTCCAAAATTACATGCCTACAAGCAGAGTAAAACAAAACAAGAAGTATTCTACAGTACACAGATGAAATCTGAGCACTAAAAATCCTACTTTCAGCCTACTTCATATGCTTCATGACAGAACAGCAAGTCTATGAGGTTACATGCTAGCCATTTCTTACGTTGTGTGAAAGTTATTTTTGGTCTTTCATAAAGCAGTGTGAATAATAGCTACGTTGACATTTAGCCAGTCATAGAAACATGCAGTGAGAGTAGGTGCATGCAAAACATGGCCACAATCAAACTGATACATTGAAGGAAAAAAAAATTGAGAAAGCACCAGTTAAAATTAACACTTGGATTCTGCCAGATCAAGAACAGCTGCTGATAGCTGTTGCAGAGCATAAAGCTAGTAGCTAAATCATCATTCAGCACAGCAGATGTGATACTCAAAACATTATTTAATTTCGACTCTGAAGCTAAATCATGCAAGGCCCATAAACTGTTTTGCTTACATCATAAGGGTTAGATAACTTATTTTTATTCTCCAACTGTAAAACAAAATCGTGATAAACAGCAGTAATTTTTTCCACTCAAAACCAACAGTTCACCCTATGGTGCACATTAACTACACTGATTTTAGCCCTTGATACCATACTTATTTCAGGTACAGTGGAATTTCAACTCTCCTAAGCCAGCTCTTTCCTGCTGGAGCTACGCAAGTCTGAGCGCCATCAGATTTCCCAGACACTGAAATGTTCATTATGTTCCTCAAATCTTCCGAAAGTGGAGATGCAGTATCCAATTCAGACAAAACACTATGTCACCACTAGTTGATAAACAATAATTAATAAAATGATAAAATGAACAACAGTAACGTAAGTCCTGTAGGCAGCATGTGATATAACTTTACAGTTTTCCAAGTTTTAAAAGACACTAAGCAAGGTCACTTTCTGGTTTGTCCACTGTCATCTTTATCAAGGAGGAAACGTGACCACCAATGAGCAAAATCCATAGATGTTAATTATTACCGTGTTATAGGTGCAATTTAGAATACCAAAAATTAAAGTTGTTCCACAGCAGTCCTTTGAAAGGAATTTCAGTCTGTTTTATAAGTGTTCCAGGAAAAAGAGCTGTACGTTTAATTTGCTGACTTTTTTTCCCCCATAATAAAAAATAGGCAAGAGAAGTAGTTCAGTGTAGCATTATGGTATTAATAATTTCTTCAATAATGCAAAAAGTTGGTAATAACAAAAGTCTCAAAGTTCTTGAATGCTAAAGAAAAAAGCTATGGTTGTTTTCGAACAAGACGGATGCATCTGTAATACAAAACTTTGATAGAAACTGTGTTTGCTGAAGTTGGATAGAGCAGTCTCAAACTCAGAAATCTTACTTGCTCTCTAGACAGGACCTACTTACCCTCAAACATGTTATAGTGGCACCACAATAAAGTGCACAAACTGGATTCTTTCAACAGTGCATGACAAATGAACACAAGCACCCAATAAGTACAGTGGTTGTATACGGAAAACATGTTATTCAATGGTTTGGAGGAACATAATTTAAATTGATTTTGAAGAATCCTGTTTGCTGATAAGGACTTCTAACAGCCTAAGTTTGGCTTTAATTTTCTTGTACTCCCTGTACTCATCAAGCATTGGAACCCGATCTTCTTTCTGTACGTTCCTGTAAAGAGAAGCATACCTAAGTTTCAAGAAAATCCTCCATACTGCAGCAAGTTAAACACAAAAGCAGCAATGTGCAGTTATCTTACGGCAGATAAAAATATTTTTGGCAGCTGGTTCACCAATAATAGACATTGTTATATTTTAGTTCCTTGTAGTTAAAATTGCCATCACCTAAAAAACTGAATAGAAAACCCAGTAGCATTTATTCAGCACAACTGTTGCAGCATTGTTTATAAATTGTTCTCTTAAGTTCTTCTGGAGATTTTAACAACAGGATATGAAGACTTTCATTTCAGATCCGGTGTATACATTACAGAAAAATACAAATAAGTTTAAGTCGATCTACATTTTCACTGTATGTAGACTGACCCACAAATGGACAGCAGAGAATTGTTATTTAAGACTGGACTGTAACAAATCAATCTATTAATCTGACTTATTTTTAAATGAAACCTTCATTAACAACCTCATTTTTTGCCATCAAAGTCAAAAGGAGTTATGTCCCAAATTCAATTAAGTGCATGATGAAGCCATGTTAGTGGAATTTGTGTGACCAATGATCCAGGAGTTTCTAGTTAAGGAGAAATACAGTAGGAAGTACAGTTAAATGAGAATGTCTGCCAGTCAAGAAAGTGACTGGCCTCTTAAGAGTGTTGTTTGTTTTGTTCATGAGGTGATACACCTCGAAAAACCTCCTATTACATACAAAGGGCAGCAGTTCAATCAAATTCATAATAATATATATTCAAATAAGAAGCCTAAAAGAACTAAACAATCCAGAGAAGAATAAAAATGATCAACCCCTTTATTGGTAAAGCAAATATCCACCGTTAGGATTGACCTACTGGAACAGGACAAACAGGCAAACTTCCCTGCCCTATGTTAAAAACAACAGGTTAATCCGAGGGGTTTCTTTTAATATATAAAGAATACTTTTTTGGTAAGTATTTTAAAATGTTGATTTTTTTAAATTAAAAAAGTCACTTCTTCCATTTTCATTATTACGCTTTACAGCTGTAATAGAGGAAACAAAACTCAGGAGCAGGCTTCCTCCGCTATTAAAAATACTCAAGAATGTTATCTTCTTCAGGAGATTATTCATAGTAGAGACTAAACCAGATCAGATTCTATTTGGCAACATTCATACAGAAAGTTGAAAAAAATACTTGGCTACAAAATGAGGCTGCTGTCCAGCATCTGGTTTCGTGCTAAACAAACCTTCCATTTTGCTGATAAAACTCCTCTTCAAATTCTCGTAATGTCTTACGTAGCTTCTTTTTTTCAGCTCTGGCTTTCCACAGTTGCTCCAATAATTCAGGCCTAAAAATTTCAAGTGAAAGAAAAAAACTGTTGGCCATACAATTAAATTTAAATTCTTCAAAGCATACTCAAAAACAAATGAGCTAGCTGCACTAATAATAAATTTGTCTTGCTCATACGGAATATGACGGTGAAATATTGAGAACAAACCAGTAGTTAATAAAAGGGTATAAATTTTCCACTGTCTACACGGCTCAATTATGGCTGAAGAAGGTTTAGAAGATACTAAACAATTCACTGAATACAAAAAGATCTTAGTCAGACACGTCAGAAGAAAGAACGCTCATTCAAGCCAAACACCTCCCGAGAAGTGCTGAACACATCACTCCCTTCCACCCAACATCATATATTTAGTATCATGACTGTAAGTGCAATAATTGCAACTTCTATAATAGAATTATCACTCTTATTTTTACATACATAGAAGCAGCGCGGGTGCTTGACAGCCTAAGGTCCCGGGTCAGTTTCTCCTGACCATCTTCAACATCAGACTCAGAGTTTTCAACTGGGCTTAAAACAGACTGTGTTTGGACAGCAGTTCTTAAGATATCGTTCAGGTCTGTAGACAAACCATCACTTTCCTCCTCTTCTTCCTGAAAGTCAAAGCAGAAATTAAAAACAAATATGAAATATTTCAGTTCGCTATTACAAGTGCTGGGAAGCATTTTTTAAAAATGCACTGTACACACCTTAATTTCTTCAAAAAAATGGGCAGTTTCACCTTCAATAATGGGCTGTAACATCTGCCCCCGCCTCTTGGTTGACGGTGACCCCTGCAATATTTTAAATTTGTTTCATTATATGCAATTAGACATTAAATGCTGTGTGTGGTCAGAATTTTGTTGAAGTCGCCTAATACCTAAATGTATTTCTTCTTTCAGAAGAATAAGACTGCAAACATACTTACAGAGCACAAACAAAATAACCATATAACCCAAAAAGCCCAAAGTATCCCTGACATAGAAGTAAATGTTGTAGCTTATAATTTATGTAAAAATATTCTTCTTCGGACTTAAAATAAAAAGCACTCAACTCTCTCCATGTTTTGTAGAAAATTCATAAAGCACAATGATATCTCTAAATTTCGTATTTACTCTTGTTCCTCCCAAAACAAACCACAGGGAGATTATAAAGTTACCCAAGGCCTGAGACATTTTTTATCTTCTGCCAGACATACATTGGGAACCACACTGCTAGTTTCTTTTTCTAGACTATTCTGAAGCCCCACAGTTGGAAGAGCTACATAAGAGTTATCTATTGCCACCTCAGTGTCAAGATCCTTTGAACTTCAGCCTAAACAGGTGCCGCTGCGCTGTGCAGGAATTGCTGTTAGCTGCCCGTTGCACACATGCAATTATGCCCTGCTCATCCGTTATCCCTGGGCAGCATAAGCAATTTCAACAGATGGACTCTTTGAACAGCAGGAAGGTGGAACACGAAAGCCACACAGACAATGAATGACCTGTCAAAAAACTTTAGTTCATGAAAAGTAAATAGCTTCCTGCTGCTTTGGACATTTCCATACAGGCTTCAGAGTATGTGATTAGTATACCATGATGCCATAAGAAAGATCTCATGGAAGCAAGTGTCATATAAACCAAAAAAGAATTCTTGAAATACCTGGCACTGAATATGTCCTACCTAGAAGCTACCACTGAACAATCCCTGGTAATTAGAGAGCTCCACTTATCTGTCTTAGAGGTTTCAAAAGCAGAGGCCTGTGAAAAACATTTTACAGGTGTTGCTTATGGCACGGATTAGGAATTATGTTACCAAGACCTCTTCTGAATTTAAAATCCTTTTGGTTGGCTATTACCCATCCCTTTATTTCACAGCCAAAAAAAAGAGCAACTATGATATAGTCATAAGGCTACTGATAATCACAGAAGCATAGAATAGTTTGGGTGGGAAGCGACCTTTAAGGGTCATCTAGTCCAACTCCCCTGCAATAAGCAGGGACATCTTCAACTAGATCAGGTTGCACAGAGCCACGTCCAATATCTCAGCTGAAGAGTCAGATTTTTGAGGTGAGAGATAGGATAAAACTCAACTAGTCAAGGGCACCACCAATAACTTACGACTCACCAGTCACGGAGAAATGCTTAGGTGTTTAAGAGTAACCTGTGTTTTATGGATTTCAGAAAGGGATACTGACATCAAAGCCTTCAAGTTGCCCTTAAACTGAAATATGACTGCAATATAAATAACACTTTTCTATGAAAGCAGCTACCCAAAAACGTACGTGCAAGAAAGGAATAATCTTGAACTGGTCCCTTTATCTCAACGTACTTCAGCTTACAGGGGATAGCTAAGGATAGTCAGAGTCAACGTAGACAGCTGATTAAGTTGCTGCTGAGTAAGCCGCTGGCCAGCTACGTAAATCTGCTAGAGAACTGTCTGTATGTAAAGAGATTATCTCATATCAGCTATGCAGTCCCTCCCTTCTAAAAGGGTCAAATAGCTAATATCAAAACTGTTTTGTTGCAAGTCTGGGTCAGTGTGCAAGATTTTGACTATAGCTCACGAAGAACAAAGACAGACGGCTGGTTGTCATTCCACAACTGTTTTACAGGTACTATAAACAAGGTTACATCGATCTCCTCGCACAGTATGAAAACTTTTCTTCCTCATCTCTTACAAGACCACAGAGAGAGGAAAGAAAAGTTAGGAGGAAATGAAGTGAAAACACAATGAAAAAGTGCAGATGTACAGATGCTGCAGACGTTGATAACATGTCTCACATTGGGGAAGCATGAAGGAATGAAATGGTTCTTATGGCCATCCTATCACTCATGCCTCTGGTGACAGTAACCTGCAGCACTGAAGAGTGGTAAGCTTCACTGCAACTGGTGTTACTATTCTTGAGAGGACTAAAAGTACAGCATGTACTGTGGATCCGTACCTAGCACAGTGACTTGGGAACGTTTCAGCCACGGCAAGTTAGAACCGCTTGTTTACTTCCACCAAGAACCATTTACTTTCTAAAAGCCATCAAGGTCACAGACAGCTTTGAACTGCTCTGCTCTCAGCAGTAAATCAAATGCCTCAAGTATAATGTCAACAACATCTTATATCTTCCACAAGAAAGATGTATTTTATGGAACAGTTTTACTAGCTCTTCTAAAGGCAGCCTAGCAGTTCAAAAGTGGAAAAAAATAGAAATAGCACTTCTTTTACTCACAAGAATAGGAGTAATGCTTGCTCTAGTTAACATTTGTTTTACAAGTCTGTATCTGTCATAAAGTGGCTTCACAATATGTCTTTCTTCTCTAGTAACCTAAAGGCAGAGAAACCACAGGATTAATTATACCAGTCACTCAATAATATACAAGCAAACACAAAGCGGTATGCTTCTCAAGCCAGGCCACGTATATTCCAATTAGGAACATAAAACTAGTTTAAATTGTGTATACGAAATGGGGTTTATGCAGATAAAGGGGAATAATGCTTTTCCTCCTCTCTTTTCTCACTTTAACTCCCTGTGTTTTTCAGGAAGAAGTTTTAAAGACTTCCTAAAAGTTAGGGGAACTTCAGTAGAAGAAAACCCTCTATCTTTAAAGACCCATGGAAAAGAGGAAAAAAGGAACCAAGAACTGGGGGAAAAGACTGTGTGCCTAGCAATGATGATGATTCTACAGAAATGATGGGGAAAAAGAAAAAGATGAAACTATAGAGAGATTTTATCTGATATGTGATTTACTGTCAATTCTTGACCACTGTGTACTCTTAATATAATGAATCTTAATGGCTATCCTGAACAGTAACTGGCATTTTCTCCCTAAGGGGATTGTAGAACCAGTGCCAGTATCTCCAAGACCATTATTCTTCCTTGGCTTTTAGACTGAAAGGCTTGGTCAGATTTATATGGCAGTGCTGATTACAAAGCTAATGCACCAAGTCCAGAAGGCTGATACAATAGTAACCGGAAAGATCTTGTGATTGGACTAGTGATGCTGATCACTGTCCAAGATAAAAATTCAGACGAATTGCTAGTCACTTACTCTAACTTCCATATCTCCAGTTATTTAAGATACACATGCCACAGACTTGGGGGGGAGGGGGGAAGAAAAAAGTGTCTTTTCATTTCTGTTTTTGTGAAATCCAGAATAACATTTCAGGCCTTTTCCCAGGAAATTCAATAGCATCGTTTATTTTTAAGATTTCTCTTTGTTTCACAGACACATAAGGCACCAAACACCACCAATCACTTTGCAAACGTCAATAAACTACTGATCTGTGGGAAATGGGCCATTAATACATACATTTTCTTTAGAAGTCAATGTAGTAACTTCCTCCGATGGCAACATGGAAACCAATAGATAACTTCGTGTTTTGGAGAAGGGGGAAAAAAAAACCAAACCCACCAACCCATACACCAGCATTAAATTCTGGTACTACTGCCTCACAAGAGTTACTGTTGTCTGTGCATATATAGCTTGATGAAGTAAACCAAGTATTACCGGCCGTCCATGTTGACTTTCATAGTACAGGAGGCTTTTCTGGAGAGATGTTTTCTCTTCTACCAAATGGTCTTTTGTCATTTTCTGTCAGAAGAATAATTCACATCTAATCACACACAAGCCACTTTAACAGTTTTTCTACGTTACCAGCCATACAGATGCCTTAGCCAAACTTAGCTTACTTAATACCACCATCCCACCTTGATCCACTTCATGCTGTCCAATATTGTCAGCACATACTTGTAAGTATTTTAATAAAGAGTGAGCAAGGAAAATGTGGTTCATCTTGATCATTTCCCCACAGAGTCTGAAATTCGAGGGCTTGGTAAAGGGCTGCTAGACAGAGGCATCATTTTGTCAATAAAGTAATATCTGAAGTGTCTGACAGTGCTCTATTTCCCTCTGTTATTCTCTTAGAAAGAAGCCTATCCGTAACCTTATGCTTACTTTTATATCTTCTGGCAAACATCTCTCAACTCGTTTTTCCTTTAATCTTTTCAAAATGAGTTCAAGTGTAGCTTCCTTGGTGGGCTTCTTCTCCTTCTGCACAACCCGCATCTCGTCTTCATTTTCTTCATCCTCTTGGTCAAGAGAGGAACCAAAGCTTTTTGGAAGAGTGTTACTTCGTGGACGTGTTTGAGGTATGAATTCTCCATCTAAGCTCCTCTGCTTTGCATCTGAAATAAGAAAAATTGCTCAGTTCAAAGGTTTAAAAGAAATAACTCTCAGTTCAACTGGAAATAAAGGAACATAAACGGTTCGCATAGGCAAAGTTTCTCTTCTAATCAGCTAGAAACAAAGCCACAAGAATAATTTGATTTTCATTTTTGAATAGTTCAGAATCTAGAAATGAAAGATTTTTACTGTTCTGTGGAATTTTACTGAATGACTTAGCCATTTTAGTCATGTAGATAATTTGTGTTTGTAGAAAACCAGAAACTGTAGCATCCCTTACCTTTTATTTGCTTTCTCAATTTGGTAAGTTCAGTCATCCATTTTAAAACTTTTGGATTGGCTGCAATATCACTGTAGGAGGGCTGAAAAGTAATACAAACAAACTACATTTTATGAAACAAACACACTAAAATCTTGTTTATAAATACTTCTTTCAAGATTGGTAATATTTATGACAGCGAATGTGACTAATAACACAGATGACACTCTCAGTACCAGATCAGATCTCAGTGACAACATAACAGACAACACTTGTGAAAATAAACTTGAAACAAGACATCAGAAGTTGAACTAGAGAGTGGTAAGATGCTTTTGTCTCTCTACATATCTCATCTGATATCCCCTCAGTCTCACTGTGTAAATGTCACTGTCTGCCCTTCTTTGGGCTCAGGCATTATGGCACATTTTCTAGTACTGCTGTTGCTCAGTTCACTTCCGCAGACAGCAGAGTATAACAAAATTATTCTCATTTGTGAACCCACAGTTATACAGTGATGAACTACAAGAAGTAACTTAGCTCTACCATGCAGTCATTCATCCTGAGTAAAAGCAGAAGTGGTAACTTACCTTACTGTTTTTCTCTTTTTCAAATTGTTCCTCAAATTGCTTTATTTTTTTCTGTAATTTCTTGACGAGCTGATAAGGTGTCTTGTCTTCCCTTTTGTCATCTTTTGAGCTAAAGGATGCTCTTCGTGTTCTGTATTGAAAACATTTTTAAAATGTCATTTAAATAATTAAACAAGTGCAAACAACTTGTATATTTGTGTAACAAATTACAATTCCAATTTTTTTTCTGCAGTTCATAATCCATTCTTTTCAGGTTTTCAGTCAGAGCTATTTACTTACTGAATCAAAATGCTTTGATCTGCTGCCTTCAAAGTGTGATGTGTTATTTTTTCCTCTCTAATTTCAGTAATACCCCTAACAGAAAAACAGCATTTGAAATTCAAGCGTTCTGTTAATTACATTGTCATTAAAACAGTTCAGATCTTTCTGGTGGCTAGGCTACTTATCTAAGTTACTAGATACTCAGTACTTCTTGAAATATTGGGCACAGAATAAAGCCTAGGCTAGATGCTACCACTTAACAATCCTTGGTAATTAGACAGCTCCACTTAACTGTCTTAGGCAAGTTATTAGATACTTATCTAAAACACATCTGCAGCATCTAATCTGTTGTTCTTATTAATATATTTCCAGAGTATGCGATTCTGGCTTTTAATCATCTTTTGCACTTGTTCACCTCCTTGACATTTGCTGCTTGTGAAAAGCCTTTTTATTTCAAGACTGACCATGAGAATTTTCTAGTATGCTTATTACACAAGGTGCCTGAAAGATCCCTCAACACAGCTAGTGACATCTAGTTCGAGATATTAGAAATACTAATCTAATAATCTACTAGTGTAGATCCTTATTAGTTTCAGAACGAGGAGAGCAGCTGTTACAATCAGCACTTTTCTGCAGGTCAGTCTTCTGCATCATTTCAACAGTACTTGTCAACTATCTTTTGCATCAATAAATCTACGTCAGACAGAGAACTGGAGATTCTAAACTCCGTCCTTCCTGTTCCAGATTTTCCTCATTTTTATGAGACTATTTCTTCCCTAACAAGCATGGAAATTCTTCTTAAATTCCCTTTCGCAGTAACAGTAGTAGACAGTACAGGTCACAGGTTATTTACAGTGTTGGAGGGTCACACTCCCCAGTGTCACACAAATAACTTGCAGCTTGTTTAGTTACAACTCTACTTTCATACACTGGGTTAAACAAGCTCAATCCTCTAAATCTGCACGAGAAGGCCCACATTAAGAACCCTACCTCTTCACAGCACTGCTGTCCCACACCTCTCCCTCTAACAGCCAATACTTTCCTATAAACCTTCTGAATGAAGATTTTCCACCGCCCAAATGAAGAATCTGCCCAGACCATTACTGCACACTTTAGTTGCAATGACTTCTGTAACCTGGCTCTCTCTACTGGGAGTGGGTAACATGCTATGCAAAACAAATCTGAAATTATGCAACATGATATTCATGCTACTGAAAAAAAAAAAAAGCCAAAACTTACATAAAATCATAGACCAGCAGTCCAGTAAAGACTGGTAAACAAAGGATATAAATACTATCTTCAGCCCAGGAAGTGACATTATAGCAGGTTGTCAAAAGCCCTGACCAAATGCCAGGGAAATCTGTGCAAGCTTGCCCTATTTTTATTCTCCTTCCTTCAGCATCTGCCAGTGGCCACTTTGAGAGACACAATACCATCCCAGATGAACCGCTGGTCTGACTCACTATGGCAGTTCCTGGGCAGGCAGAACAGCCAAATGGCCATATAATGCTACATTTGACCTTGGTCTTCAATTAATTCATATTGTGAAAAACCACGAGGTTTTTAAACAGCTGCATTTTCACACTGGCAGTAGTATTTCCTATCCCAACACCCACCAAATTGCATTAAAATACATACCTAACAAAAGAAAGTGCTTTGGATGAAGAATCTAACGTTTCTGGATCATGTAAGAAACGTTGGCTTTGCCCAAAATCCAAACTACGATGTGACAATATTGGATGACAGTCCTCTTCCAACGGATGATTAGTCATCCTTCCAGCCTGCGGGGAAAGCTGCGCTTCTCCAGATTCACTGTCCTCCTGCCAAGATTTGAAAGCAGGAAACGGATCTAGAAGATAAAAAAGGGACACAAAATGGTACTTTTCTGTTAACAGAATTATAAACAAGAGTCAAAAGGAAACAAAAATGCGTACCCAATGCTTAGTCTTGTATGCTATAAAGGATGTGGTGTCATACACAGAGTGAATAAAAACATTGAAATACATCAGAAAGCTACAAATTCTGTCATGTAACAATTGAAAGAAAAAGGTACTGAAATGAAGTATGCACACTAGGATCCCTTTTTCAAAGTGTATCTTGGGAGTACGCATTTCTGAACAGTTCAACAGTGTAAAAGAGCCTTATTTACGTATCAGAAATCCAAAGTTAGAAGAATATATTTATTGTCCATTGCAATATTTTGCTGTGGAAATTAATTTTCATACCTTACGCATGTACTTTGAAAGATTGTCCTCTTGGTTTTGAAGAAGGTAAGCCTGACAATACCTCTTTAGGTACAATACCCATTTGCTTAAGTCTTTTTAAAGGAGTGTTGTTGGGTTTTTAAGTTTAAATCCCTCTTGACACCACTGAGAAAAAGAGATTTCTTAATTTGTGGAAGGTGATTTCTTTCAGGCAGGGGATTCCAAAACAATCAATTTTTTAAAATCCCTATAAAAAGTCAGTTGCTAACATCCCTTACAATTCTCAGATATGGCTTTCTTGCTGTCTAACAAAAAGCTGACATGGCCTTCCAAGCACTTTAATTTAAAATCCCACCCCCCCTTTTCCTTTCAGAGAGTTGCCTATATTTTCCAGTTCAAATGAGAAATTTGAAAACTGGGCTCAAAGTGTGCAGAACAACAATAAAACCCACAAAGTAATCTTTAAAAAAAATAACCCTTATACCTGCTTTCCATTGTACATTTACTAAGGATTATTGGGATTTTTAATTTTGTTTTTAAGCTATAATCTTGCCTGTTTACACAGTACAAGATACAAGAAGGGGACCTTTTAGAAAAAAGTAAACAAAAAAATTGCAGATCAGAACATTCCCAAGATATAAGGGACAGCAGGTGAAGGGTTAGTTAGAAAGCAAACCATAAACTATCAAAAGGCAGATAACTGAACGTATGGCGAACCATACTTACCCTCCCCTTCTCTCTGCAGATGCATTGTTTTGAAATCAATGAGGGGAAAAGTGATAGGGCATGGCGCTAATAAAATGAAAAAGAATGGCAAAAATACTAAAGTGAACACACAGCACAGTCAGAACAAACTATACATAACATGTAAAGCAGGAAGATACAGTACCAGGGAAAAACATCCCATCTTTTGGGCCAGGCCCTGAGCACTCTCAGCTTCCAAGCAATTTCAGTGGCAGGTAAGGATGCTCAGACCCTTAGCAAATTTGAATTTTTTACTGAAAAGGTTTACAAAGAACTGACACAGGAATAGTAAAGACTTATTGTAGTTTAATAGGAGTCTCATGCATCCTCACATTAACAAAAGACAAGTTCTAAATATGTTTTTGTTCACAGCTTGTGAATAGAGATGGTGGTAATTTCCAAAAAGCAGGACAAATGCAGAAAAAACACTCAGAAATATAGATTAACTGATCTGCATTTTTGCCTTAAGCCAGCAAGCATTTGATGTTCATTTTCAAGAACTCTGCTGGTCACAGGCCTTCAGGTTTTCTATCACACAGGCTTTAATAACCCAAATCTTGTAACAGGATTTGGACTAGTATAGATCTCTTTACACAGCCAATCTACTTCAGTGGAATGCCACAAAGACTTGCAGTGCCTTGGAAGGCTGAGATCCTAATAACCATTCTAAACAGGACTGAAGAATAGCCAGAGTTAAAACACTTTGCAATGAAATAACACCTCTTGCAAAATACCATGATTTTAACACCAAGAAGCTTATGATATAAATTTACATACAGATATGCTACTTTCTTTTCAAAGTAAGGGTCACAAAGCTGTTTGGGTAAGTAAAACCAAAGCAACTTTTATGAGCAGATTTAAGGAAATAATGAAAAGGGAAGCCACAAACCTTCTGAGAATACGTATTAAGTCAGATTAACACAAATAGAGAATGCAACAAAATGTAATGTGCAAGTAAGCAATTAATGTAAGTAAACACCGAGAACATAAACAGGATTTTTTTAAATTTTTTTTTTTTTAACTTTAGACAAAGTTATTAACTTGGGCAACAAGAATGAAAATCTGGACTCAGTGCCTTCGGATGCCTGCAAATCAACTTCTACATGACATGACATACTCTGAATGTACAGTTTGCTAGGGCTCAAGAAGGCCAACCAGCAAATATTTTACAAATCTAAGTAAGCCAATCGTAAGTTGCAAACCTCATCATTTGTAAAAGGGTTAAAAGGGAAGTATGGATTCATGCAGGCAATTAATCTGGAAAAAGTCAACACTGGTGACAAATTAACAGTAAGTTATCACCATCGCTTCAGGACAAAGCTTTACGTGCTGACACGGTACAACTATATGCTGCACTGTTAAACTACATACATCGCAGGTATACTTAATTAATTTTAATATTTATAAACACAGCAACCAGAAGTTAAGTGCAGTCATTCTTTGCTACCAGTGTCTTACTAACATTTGACCGTGACACTTATACAGGCATCTCAAAGAATAGCTGTTACTGAAACAGCCTGTTGGAAATTAAAACCTCATCCCTGCGTAGTAAATCTGTACTGTATCTATCAAGCTGTAATTGCAAGTTTTTAAAATTGGAAACAGGTGTACTGTTGGTGACAATTCACAGTATTTTAGCAAACTATATCACTTGCATTTTTTAAGGTGTGATGATTCAGAATATCAACACTAGGCAGAGGAAATAAGATATAAGGAACACGTAGAAAGGTAAGTACTTTGAAAAGAAGATATTGACAAGAGTGTTTTGCTCTGGTTACAAAAGGGTTATGTTTTTACACAAATAGAACAGTCTAAACAGTTATTGCCAGACATTTGAGCAACAAAGTTCAGTAAAGTCACAAGCTTAGGGGCTTGCTACACCTGGAAGGCCACAAAGAATAAGGTCACAAACATAAGGAATCCTGTCTGAGAGAAAACTATGTTTCAAACATTTTGCTTCTCCTAAAATCCAAACAATGGAGGGAGAAGGGGCACAGAAATAATATCCATCTGCAACTTTAACTTTTATTTGAAAATTCAGAGCTGTTTCAAGTTGTCCAATGACATGGAAACCAACATCTGACATTCCTGATGTTTAAAACAAAACAACCAAGAGATTTTTCAGAGTAAATGAAATATAAATTACTGCGTTTAGTAGCTTAGTGATTGTAAGTCACATTCAGCTAGTATTAGAACTTCAGTAACTTACATTTAAAAAAAAAAAAACAAACAAGACACAGTGTGAATATTAACTGTATGACATAATCAGAGAAAGTGTCTTTAAGGACTTGGATGAGAGACTCAGGGCCCTGGGAATCGTAAGTCACTTTTCAAAAAAAAAAAAACCAACCAAACAAACAAAAAAACCCCAAACCTCTAGTATGAAACTTAGGCTTTTTTTGCTTTCTTTAGTTGCTCCTTTGACTATTTTTTCTTTACGGTTTTTTAGTTTTTTTTAAGGTCATTAAGTTGCAGATAGTCTGAAACAAGATGGGACCTATGTCATGACTTGGTCGATCTTACCGTGTCTATAGGAACATATTATTCCGATCGAACTAAAGAAAAAGGCGTAAGTTGTCTGATTCTTCTACTTTGTCCAATGTTCTATTTATCATTACTAGCTAACTATGTTGTGAGCTAAACGGTGAAAATTACCTTCCCATTTGTCACCATCAGATACATTCTTCAGATCTAGACGTGGTACTTGGACACCCAGAGCTTCCTCAGAAACATTAACGTTGCCATCCCCTGACACCTCTGAATCAGTATTTGCATTAAGATCACAAGTCTTGCTACTTGAATCCTGTATTCAAATAACATAACAGAACAAGTTTATTATTATTTAGCAACTGGAAGGTACCTAATCAGTGCCAGTTCCAGCACTTCTGGAAATTTTCTGAAGAAAAAAAATTATTCTTTCCTAACTCAAGGAATTATAAACAAGCTTCCCTCCCAGTAGTAGTCAATTATTTGCATTACAAAACATTCCTTACACGAGATGCATAAGTATAAGCTTGCTCTGCTACCAAAAGTTTCTGTGAAGTGAGATGATGAGATCTCTAATAGAAGTTTTGCAAACCTTGCAGCAGGCCAACCAACATAAGATGTTAAAAGCTAAATTGATTGGTTTTCTTCATATCTGTATTTCATGTAAGTTTATAAGATGCTGCGTATCTGTATATAAATGAAATCATAATCTTACCAGAAACATCTCTGAAGATATTCTATCATTGCCACCAAGCAATATACTATTTTGCCTAAAAAGAAGATACAGACCTAGTTATCATTTTAAATACAAGTTCTTAAGGGACAGTAAATACTATACATTCTTTTTACATTTTATTCTTACATACCATAGTCCAGTTTCAGCAGATATGCAACGTATTTCCTTAAGTGATAATTAAAATTCTGGGGAGCAAAAGTTACCTTGCTTCCCCCTGCCCCGCTTTGTTCTTCATGCAGAATTTCAAGATGACGCATGTAAACAACAACTGGACTTGAACCAAGTTGGAAATAAAAACAGCTCAGACCTTTATTCTCAAACCAGGAGTAAATATTTTAAAACCCAAACTGAAATTTCAATCAGTGCTGAACTGAAACCACAATTGAACTTAAAGTTTTCTGGCTAGTCACTATTCCCAGCATTAATTCTTCAATCATTAAGAGCAATAAAATGTGCCAAAATATTTTAAAGAAAATAACTTTTTCTTCTATTTCTCTTGCCCAGAACATAGGCTTGTTCACAAAAAAACCATGATGTATATCATCTAGGCTTGTACTTATTTTCTCTTTTAAGTGCATAAAGTTCCATGCCTTTTATATCATCACCATAAAAAGGTAATTCCAGCTTATCCTCTCTGTTTTCACGTGAAGTTTTATCTTTGGTTTGACCTCCCTTATGCTATACTGTATTGTCACAAATCACCAGTTCGATACACTCACTTTTCAAAACTGAAGTTACACGTTCTGCCATGTAAGTGACAAAAGAAAAATACATACCTTTCACTATTATTTTCGCCATCAACATCTTCATCTTTATCACATGGTTTTAATAATACGTCTGCAGTCTGTTGGCAAAAAGTATGTTTAGAAAGATTTGCTAATAGCATTCTCAGCTGAAAACATTTCTGTAATCATCACCGACCACAAAAAACCCTCAAGAACTAGAAGCACAGCTTTTTGTGTGGGGGTGGAAATCATACTTTTTAACCATGCAATATTTTTACATCTAAAGTAAGGCCAGTAACCAGGTGTTCTAATCACTAGAAGACAGACAATGACTTTTCATCTTCAAATCATTTTTTATTATTGCTTTTAAATATTAACACCAACAGTTCTACTGCAAATTGTCAATCATAGCATGAAGTTCGGGGGTGACTAAAATCATGGCAGTAAGTATATCCTAGTCTCAAAAATAACTGAGTTGGATGTAGACTTGTGCTCAGCATATATGAAATGAAACAAGTCTGACAGACTTTCTAAAAGGAGCTACTAATCCCTGTCACTAAATAAAGGAGCAACAGAACTGGAAGGGGATGAAGAAACACTGGCATTTCTATGACACCATCTCACAAAACAAGTTCAGATGAATACATGTCACCATTTTGTTCACTAGAAGTTGGCATAGGGACACTGACTACTTTAAGCATTTACACCAAAGCCCAGTACTTGATTTCTTCAAAAAGTTTCTTATTTGGGAGAATGTAAGAAATTTGAAATACAAAATATGTCATTTTAAAAGACCAGATAACATCTGGTTTCAGACTTCAAGAAGTTCTCACAAATGATCTTTAAAATGTCTGAATATAAAATAAAGTTACCTGGAGAATTCAAATATACATAACAGTTGCCAGTTTTACACTGCTGACAGTAATATTCACCCTTATCAGACAAAGCTCCATTATTCTGTTAACATCATTTCAGTCCTCAAGTCAAATTCCAATTCGGGGAAACAATTTTTAATTACAGTGCATTTGTCATACTCCAGCAGATAATTTCCATCCTGGAGACGAGCTGTGCAAGTCTTGCATAGCCACGCTTATTGTAGTTGTGGAAACAGCTGCTTCTGTTTCCATTTCAGACCCAAAGGAGAGCTCACATGCACATCTTTCGTTTCCTACATGCCCCTCTCAAACCCTTTCATACAGAAGAATCAGTATATTTCCCTTTAATATCTCTCTGAAAGATACAATTCTCCACTAACATTTGAAATGGTGTATGAACAAGAAGGTACAAACTAACATCGAAAAAACAAAACTTCATCCCAGAATGCTGCCTTACCACTGGTATCAATGGACAGAAATGTAAAATGTATCAAAAAGCAGAAGAGGCCAAGAATGACAATAGGTATGACAACAAAAGCACATCTATGTATGACTGTGCACTCCCAAGCATCATGTTCCCCTTTATATTCTTAGCACGGTAACACACTTGGAACTCCAAAGTGCACATACTTCATGTGAAGTGTAATTCACGTTTCTCAGCTGTTCTTTGAAACCATTGAAACTGCGTAATATGCACCAAAAAGCCACCAATTTGCAATTTTTGTTTCTCCATTTACATTTGTATTTTCTGAGTTTTGATTTCTAAAGCTCAGCATATATTTTAACTAGGAACTCAGGAGGAAGCAAAGTGTTAGGAGTTAACATGAGAAACTTGCTCTCTATTGCTTCTGAAGGCTTTCATTGCCAAAAGACTGAAAACCTGGAACAAATACTACAAATAAAAGGCAGCTTAAAATAGCCAGTCAGAAAAAGACTTATGGCAGAAATATGGAACTCTACCCTGTACTTTCAACAGAGTTCTTGCAAACATAGTATTTGCCTGAACTGGATAAAATATCATCTAGTTGCAACACCATGTTTTGTGCATTTTGCTATAGGATAACAATCTAGTAATTTTTTTTGTAGCAAGATTTGGTACTAATGCATCAGGAAAGAACCTGAACAATCAATACATTCCGTGAAATTTTAATTCACAGAATGGGATCTGAAAACAATATGCTAGTTTAGCAGGAACAACTGAAAAATTTGGCTTGTTAGGTGATTCAAAAGAGTCATTTGGGATCCATGGAAACAAACAGAAGGCTAGGAGAAGAATACATTAGAATAGTGAAAAGTACTATGGCAACATTTTGTTTTAATAAAAACATAGATTCCAGACAAGACTCACAGTTTCACTATGCTAAGGCATCCATTTCTATCTTTTCAAGTTCATAGACCCATTAAATTCTTCTAGTTAATTTAAGTCTACTAACAATAGGTTTGCTTATCTAGTTATCTTTCAGGAAACCCTCAGAAAGATTTATGGACTCACAGGCAAGAAGCTAAAAACCACTGTAGAAAGTTCTCTACACATGTATAGCAAATCTCTCTACCCACAGAATTCATCATTTAGATTTATGACAACAAAAGTTTTGCCAAATAAATAAGGAATTATAGATTTGAATTTTTCATTAGAAATGCTTATTTGACAGCTGCATATGTGCTATTTCATAGAAAGTGGTAGAAACTATATTCTCTTGCATATTACTGTTATACTTTACTTCATTTTTGTCAGCATAGATTTTACAGCATTGCTTGATCACATAAAGATACCCTGAATGAGAGACTGATGTCTGCTCGCTAACAAAAAATGCTGGTACAGTTCAGGCCATCGTTACAAATTCAGGCCATACATACTACAAATCTTCAAATTTCATTCTATGTGAAGATCTAATAATTTGCAGCTCAAAGCAAACCTGAGGCATGTTTGTTGTATAGGGCAAACAATTATTTCAACATTTACAGTTGCTACAATACTGTGCTTCCATTCAAACTGTATACAATACTTGCTTCTTTCGATGACGTGAAGCTGTTCAATTCAAGCATAATATATAAAAGCAAAGCCAAGATTAAATCTATGACACCTGATTATCCTGTGGTTTGTTGTTTACATTTTCAGTTGCTTTCTGAACTTTAACAGCAACTTCAAGTATCATGAACATTGTATTTTCTGAGCAAAAAAAAAAAGTATTTTTAAAAAATACAACTAACTTTTATTTTTACAAGCATGTTAGCATCACATCCTAATATGTGCTCATGCAGCACTCTGGGCAGATTTTTCTGCTTTGGATTACAAATGGTCAATCCTGATACTTTTCAAGATGACAATATTAAGTGTTGAACCTCTTCAGCAGGTCACAAGTCTAATTTTCTTTCATTTTTCTTTTGCTGAACACCTCAAGTGTAAGAATTCTAAGTGAACACATCAGTATGGAGGGACACGAGCTATCAGCACAGCAGAAGTCAAATATCTAAGCAAAGAGGTCTAAGGAGAAGTAACAGAACCTCTTTCAACTAGAAAGAAGATGAAGATGTGTTGAAAAGAACGGGACATCTATGCTTACTACAGAAGAAACTGGAAACAGTGAGAAAAGGCTATAATTAGCTAATTACAAAACCACACCTTCCTAGCGCAAGCATAGTCAAGAGGCTGCAGTCTCAAGGTGACTGCTGCTTCTACCCTTTCTTGATACAGTAAAAGGTGTGACTAACTCTGGGCTATGCTACAATCACAGCTCTAGATCTTCTGCTCCTCAGGAAGCCTTTACTAACACAGATGCTATTCTAACCAGTGCTATGCTTGTTGATATGTTGACTTACCTGAGCAGAAGGAAGGGCTGGTACCTGTGAAAGACCAATAGAAAAACATTAGTCAGGGTCCAAACAAGTTGCACGGAAGTACACAAATCTCTCTGTATGTTTCTACGAAATGTGCACAGCAGAGAAGGCAATTAACTGCACAGAGCAACAGCGCTGTGTAAGGCTACATCAGAGCTATGAGGAAAACTTGGATCTCCAAAGCACTTTGCTAAAGTCACAGCAATTTATGATTTTCATATACAGGAGGCTCTTCCTCTCACCTGAACACTTTCTTCTTCCTCAGTTACAGTATCACGTTTCATAGCTTCACTGTCTAAATCAGTGCAAACCAATACTTCAGAGCAGTCCCCTGTGTTCTCACTGCTACCAGTGTCATTATCTTCAATAACATCATTCCTAAAGATAAGAACAGAAAGACTTTAGCAACCTGTTGTTCCACCTTTAAAAGGAAAAAAACCACCACTTTTTTTTTTTTTCCTTAAACAGTATCAAACATCAGGGTTGGTTTTTGGTTAGTTGGTTTTCTTCCCCTCAACAAAGTTATTCTGTCCAAAGATACTGGTAATATCTACAATTTCAATCACCTGTAGGCAAATTTAGGTATGTAGTTTATATATACACACTTATATGTAAGTATATATACTTACATATACTATTTATGTAGTTTATATATACTTCTGAGGTTTTCTACAACAGTATGTGATAGATATACTAAAATGTATTTATTTGATTCTTGTATTAAGGGTCAGGCATACATCCACCACTTACTATGCTGACCTAAGGAATAAAAGTGCCAACAGCCAGAAGCAATGACACATTGAAACTACCGCGACCCAATGAAGTAGCTGTGGCTACGCTCTTCTCAATACTGAAGCCAGCTAGTTTACAGCTAGTATCACTATGTTCCCCTCCAGTGAGAAATCCCATTATTTCTAACATTTAATCTTCCTAGAATTCAACTTAAGGCTTGTAACAGTACAACCAGATTATAAAATTAACTTATATTTATGTCCATATATTCTTTACATGCCACCATCCCTGTTACCACAGGATTCTGTAATTCATCACAAGCCTTTGACCTCCTTGCCTTCTCATCCTGACTCACACAGAATTCCAAACTACTTTTAAACATGTTCCTCCTCTCTCAGATATATAGATACTAAACAGGATGGTTCCGAAATTAACGTATTAACTCTTCTTTCTTAATTCTGGCAATTATTTTAAGTTAGTTCTAAAAAAATTGGACTGCATCACTGCATTTTTTAGTTACTCATTTAACTGCGTATTTGCCTTGTGCATAGTCTGCTGGCGGCACTGCTTTAAAGGACCCAGACAACCTCTTTCAAGAATGCTATCATGTATCCTCTATTACAGTTAATCCACAGTGGAATGATGATCAGAAGCATTTGAAATAGTCACCGTGCCAGAAAAGTATATTGGTTTCAAACCTGCAGTGATAGTACTTTCAGCTTCTGCCTCTATGAAGTCAGCCAGCCTTTAAAGCACTTACGCTGTAACTGAAAGAATTCAGCTACAACAGGTCTTTCAGGCGATTACTCACTTACTCAGAAATTACTTCAAAGACATTAATCTCTAACACTAAAACTCAGTTTTAATTGATCATTACCAGCAATGATTATTACTTTTACGATCAACTGCTAACTTCAGTCTGACCTCTGGTCACAGATAAGAATTCTAAAAACAGTAAAGACTGAACAATTTAGAAAACAGCATTCGAATCTCTGAATACTTCATGTATTTCAGGCTCTGAGCCACAAAGGGATTTAGGTATGGAAGTCTTACTTAACTACACATTTTTGGAGTTTGGGTATTAATCATGACCATTTATTTTTATTAGAGCACCAAAACGTACCAACTTCTCAATGCTGCTATGGCAATCACTACACCCATAACCTGGCAAGATTTATAATAAAAATAAAAGCTGATCAAGTGAGGCTGAAACTCTATGCAAATAAACTCAGAGTGCTCATTCTCTCTATTTTTAGCTGGTTTGTTGACACTGGCAACTAGAGCAGTAAAATAGCTATGTTGACATGGAAAGATAGGGTAAAGAAACTGAAACAGCACCTACTTTCGTATGGTAAAATTGTGACATAAGCAACATCAGTGAGATAAGAATGAAAGCACTAGGGTAAATTTAAGTTCTTGTGCCACTTGCACAGAATTCAGCAGTGAAGCAGTTATACTTCACAACATTTTTAGCTATAAGATCAATTTAAAATACTTGCTTCAAGGGCTGTTGATTACTGGCAACTGATGGAAGATGATTTGGTTTAATATATGAGATAAATTGAACTTAATAGCAAGTCATAACTTTTGTTTTGGGTTGAGGTGGAGGACTAGCATAGTTTGTTTTGGAAGAATTAAAATACACAATCCTAGGGAATTCATTACAGATACAAAAAAAATCTTACTGGTTGTTAGATCCTTCCTCATCCCCGCTGGGATTTTTTGCTTCATTGATACAGCCCAGTCTGTGTTGCTGTATATGTTTAAGATCGTTATCTAAGCTGCTCTGCAGGTCAAAAAGGTGCTGTTCCACAGCTGCTCTAATTGTTCTTTCCAAAATGCTAAAAAGAAAAAAGACAGAAAATTCATATTGAGAACTCTCCTTTTGCATTGATCAACTATGCAGAAAGGCAGAGATAAGAAACTTTACACACGACAGGAATCTTTGATGACAAGTACTTCAGGGCAAGAAGAGACTAACTTTTCCAAAAAGGCACTGGAAATTACTGCACCTACTATCTTTTATTTCGTAAGATTTACATAAAGTATTATGAAGTCTATTAACAGTATTTTAAGAGTAATCAACACATTACAATAAGTAACTGTTTTTTAAATAACTATACACAAAAACTTATAAAAGGCTAATATATTAATGTGACAGTAAAATCCTGTAACCCTGGTGCAGGTACCACTTCAGCACAGCTGGTTGTAACCCCTCCTGAACACGGCTGCATCTTAAAAGGCAAGAGCCAACAAGTAGCAGAGACAACGAGCAAGTACCTGATGAAGGACACAGGATATACCCAAAGACACATCAAGAAAACAACAGCATTCTTTAAAAACAGACTACTCTGTTGAGTGCTTCTTAGCCAGCTCATCCGAAATAAGCGATTAGGCCTATAAAAAAATCCTCTCGTCACAATCTTAAGCTATTTTAGCCCATTTTTAATTCTGGAATTGTGCGTTTATTTTTCTTCCCCATTTGTATACGCAATTCCACTGAACTGTACTCAACATTAACAACTAGAAGTGGTGCTAAAAATACAATGTGAAAGCTATTATAATTTTAAAGTCAAACACCTCTGATCTATCTAAGTATAAAACCAAAGTGTTTTGGAATCTAGATTCTACCATACTGTGCTCTCATGCTCCTAGAGTCAACAACACTGACACACATTAGGTTTTTCCTGCATTGATGTTAAATGCCGTAAGTGAAATACTTCACACTAGAATATCTTAATTCATAACTGTAATCATCAAACCTACTGCATTTCTTTTTCTTGAAAGAAGACATATCTTCTATGCACGTTCTAGTAACAGCACAATTCAAACATATTTTCGTTATACTTACTCTGCAGAGGCTGGCAAGATACTAATGGGAGAGATATGAGCACTGCAATAAAGAAGAAATAAGTTAATGTAATGCAAAAACTTATCACACTAAATAAAAGTCTTGAAGTCAACAGAAAGCAACTTAGAAAATACTTAAGGACTGCATGAAATGCGGCTAATAGAATTAAAACAAATATGTAAAGAAAACATTGATTTGCAGCCCCTTTATTATTTAGATGAAGAAATCTTAAAGAATGTCATCATAAGACAGAAAGTTGTAGCAGAACAATGCAGATTTCTGCCTCTCAAGAGCCAATACTCAGTATATTATGCAACTATAAGCTTTCAGATGTATGGTCTTTCCCATGGGAAATACTAATCACTTAGTCTCCAAAGATTTCCTGACACCTTGCTTAACAATGCAGATTTTAACCTTGCTGCCTAAAGCAACTTCCAAATTACTCTGCTTTCCTCCACAGCTGCAATTCACAGAGATTCTTCCCTGCCTGTCAGACTGTTGCGTAATTTTATTCTGCAACGTTCAACAGATCTGCAGTGCTCTCCAAGGACAGCTACATTTCAAGTGCAAGGCAGGTACCTTCCAGAGGTTTTGAGACATGAGCTAGCCATTTGTAAAGCGTTTGGAAATCTCCTAGCACAAGCCACTTCAACCTAGAATATTAAACTCCTGGGGGGGTGGAAGGGTGGAAATCGGCGTAACTAACACAAGTAAGTTAACTCGTGTATGTGGTCCCTCTACAATTTTCCATTAATATGATCAAAATTCTCTTATTATAAATACTTAATATTTAAATATTTAAGTATTAAATACTTAA